CTTCAATATTATCTATAGAAAAAATTTATAATAAATTTTGCTACGAAAATAATTATGAATAAACATATTTTTATTTTTTTTATTATATTTTTGTGGCAAATTATATAACTGTTTTGATATATAATTATTTTATATCAAAATTTTGTAGCTATATCAATATTTTCTAGCAGTGTTCTATTATGTCTTCATCTACTAGCAATAAAATATTATTACCTCTTCTCCACTAAAAAATGACTTAATAGTGTGGTATAGACACATGACCGTGTGGTTATATGTTAAAAAATAAATAAATAAATAAAGTTACGATAACATATAATTTCGAAGTGTAAGAATATTTAAGACAATCTTTATGGTCACTGGCGAATCCATCTTCAGAGATGTTGGGTCACAGGACCCACTTGAATTTATATATATATATATATAATATTAATTATTTAATTTCTTTTTTATTCAAGGAATTCGAATGACAAATTCATTAATTTATATAATTATTTCAAGTGTGTGTTCATAAAATCGAACATGAATTTTAGAAAAATAGATAAAAGAGTAAAAAAAATATAGAAAAAATAGTACTTTTTACTAAACAATGAAATGAGAATAACTTTAAATGAATCAAACAAAAAAAAAGTAAGAATAAATTTAGATTTCGATAATTTCTTCAATCTTCTTCATTTGGATCGCAACTCTGTAAGCTAAACATATTTTTTCTTCAATTTTCACTACAAATAATAATGTAATTAAACGTTTTTAATGTATAAAAACACGTAAATAACAATTGTAATTTATATATTTTATATTGTAATAATACTTTATCAAATTGTGCATCTACTTAAAAATTTAGCTGGATCCGCCACTGTTTATAGTCCCCAAATGATAAGGAAATAGAAATAATTGATGATGTTCCTAGCAGTGCTGACACCCAGTTGATCATGTAGAAGAAATTCAACTTAATATTAGAAAATCATCTCATATTTCTTTTACCCCAAACTCCAAATTTTTATTATTTGAAGTCTACGTTTTTCGAAAAACAAATAAATTTTTTTTTCTCACAAAATATCACACATTACTTTAATATCAAATTAAAACCAAAATTTTCTCAAATCCATCTAAAAAAAACATACTAAAGCACGCATGCATTATTTTAAATAAAAGCATTCGAGTGGAAGATCTAGAGTTAGTTGTCTAGTTTAACAAAACGATTTTTTTTTTTTTATTTTTACAAAAAAAAGAAAGAAACTAGAAATATTGTAAATTAAAAATATAACGCTAAAGATATAAGAAATAAGAAAATAAAAAAAAAATCAAAATTGATTATTAAAAAGAAATGACCTTTTTGTTTCGCCAAATGTGAAGATGTTGAAAAATTTATACAAAGTTTTTCACAATCACCATATAAACGTATTTCATGAAAAAGATGTTATAAAAAGCATAAGGGGGTGTTTGACAAATAGCATTTTGAAGAGCTTTTAGCTTATTGAACAATTTTTAGCTGTTTGACAAGTCAAAAAGCTAATTTAAATGTTTGGTAAATTAATTTTTTGGAATAGCTTTTTGGACTTAAAAAGCTAATTTCTGAGAAGCTAACTTACCAGCGTTTTGAAATAGCTTTTTCTGTAAAATTTTTTTTATTCCTTATATGTCTTTAAAAATTTATTATACATTTTACACAAATAAATATATTTTGATTATTTATTAATTATATTAGAATATTTTATTATATTATACTTTTACTTTTATGAATTTAAAATAATTAATTTTTATATAAAAATTATTTTAATTGTAAAATATATAAATTTATTAAAATCAACGTAAAATAAAAAATATAAATATTAATAATTTATTTTTTATCAAAATTACATTATATAAATTTTATACTAAAAATAAATTAAATTTATTGAAAATTATAAATATAATGAACTAATCGATAACTAACATAATAAATATATTCACGAAAAAATTATTATTTTATATTTTACAACATTTTCAATAAAAAAAATTATTTATATATTTTAATAAAAATATATTATTTTTTAAATCTAACTGTAATAAAAATAAATACTTTTATAATTTTCAATAACTAATAACAAAAAATTTTAAACATTCTAAACTCAAAAAAACATAATTGAATATATTAGAAACAAGAATAAAATAGAAATATCTTCAATTGTCATTTTAGGTATAAATAACTAATATCAAACAGTTATTTTACCAAACATTTTAATACATACAACTAATCGAATCAGCTAGTCAAACCAGCTAATTGAATCAGCTAACGGCTAACGGCTATCAGCTAATTGCCAAACACGCCCTAAAGTAATTTAAATTTAAACAATATTATGTTTGATTGCATATTAATTTGATATAAATTTTACACTTCATCATCCGCACACTGAGCACAATATCTATTAATCAATTCAAAATTGTTTAATTTTTTGTTTTTTGAAATATTAGTAATACCAAATTTTCGATTACTTTTCATAATGCCACAAAAAATGATGATGTTAAGTTTTTAAAAGGAATTATTTTATCTAAATATATATATATATATATATATATAAAAGAATTTCTACCGTGTTAGATGCATATAGGATTGATTAAAAATTATCATTCATAATAAGTCTTTTATTATGACTCAAAATTGTAAAAAGATAGTATAAAATAATCGGATAAATTATATCAAGTGATTTATTAATTTATTGAGCTCCTCCTACGTGCGAAAATTCGGTAACTTATTAATTAGGTGATGATCCCGACAGATCCCGGACTTAGTGTTTAATTCCTAATAAGTTCCAACAAATTTAACGAACCTGAACCATATATGCATTGAATGACACTTCTTTCGTAATGAACAATATAGATCCAAGTACAATAAAAATATGATCAATGATTTTGATAGAAATATTATTGGAATAATTTGTCCTATTTTAAATATATTTAAACAATATACTGATATTATTATCAAACGACTAATATAATGCTTTTATCTTTTGTTCAAATTGCTGAATTATTTTTCCACTATGGACAAAATAAGATTGTGACTAATATAATACTATCTCCCTCTCAACACTCAACAATTTTATTTTATCTTTATATAGAAAATAATTAATTATATTTAATATTTAATAAATATATACTACTAGTTCGGCTATAATAGTCTCATTTATTTTTTTGTGTGTTGATCTTTAAATATTAATTATTATATAAAAACCTAATACAAATAAAAAAAATGACAAAAATACCGTCTTAACTATATTTGTGCAAAAAATTATACAAATATAAGAATATTTTTTAATGTTAAATAAAATAACACAAAAAGTAAATAAGACCCTTATAATCCAGATAAAGAGAGTACTACTTTTATCTCTATAGCATCACTCAAATAAAAATAGAAATATATATTCTTCTTTTCTATTACATCACCTAATTCTTATATTATCTTACTCAATATTACTCATCTAAATGAAAAATATTGCAACCATGTTTGAGAGGAAAGAAATTACATGTATATGAAATCAAAACTTTATATTACCTACAATTTGTATTATTGGCTATTGGGTGTATATTTGATCCAAGATGTAAATATATAGTTAGAATATATTATGACTATTTAAAAAGAAATTAATCCGTAAGTAAGAAAATGATAGTCAGATTGAAAAAGAAAATTAGAAATAGATATGATTGTAAAATCATTAGTTGAAGAATATAGTCAATATCGAACAATCCAAATGCATATTAAAATTGTACCTAAAACTACAAGTCTCCATAGTTTTGTTCCTTTTTCAATTTTTAAGTAAACTCTATTTTCTCCGAAAAGATTAAGACTTGATTCTTTTACAATAATCATATCGTTATTTTAATAAAAACAAAATCTGTGTTTGTTTGGGATTGTATTTTAAATTTTTCCCCCAAAATTATTAAATCAAACACTTATTTTTCATTTTTTATATTATACTAAAAATCAATTTTACATTCAAAACATCACATCAATACTTATTTATATCACATCATACAACCGTTCAACTTCAAAATTTTTACTATTCAAATCCCAACTCAAAATCTGAACCCCCAAACAAACACCCCCTTAAGATTTTACTCATGATTTTACTATTTCGACTTTATTTTCCCTAAAAAACATCAAATCAAACACCCAATTTTCATTTATTTTATTACACATTTAATATATATTTATATCACATCAAACAACTATTTCAATTCAAAATTTTACTATCAAGTAAACACACCTGATCAAACCTCCAAACCCGATCTTAACTGAGGGGGGAAAACAAAAAGACAAACCCAACCTTTATCAACAATAGCCATAGATACAAATTTCATATCACAAACCGTCATAGACAAGTCCAGACATGGCAATAAACAACCATTTGTAATGTCAAATTTCAGCTCAAAGATTGAGACAAACAAAATTTAACCTGTTAGATCTCATGAGAATTGAACCAAGAGCTCAAAGAGAGCCTAACCTACCGTAGTCGAGCCAAAGTTTATAGACAGAAATGAACATACACAGCTGCACACTTCATTGAGATTTAGCTCATCTGGGCAATAAGATTTCGTAGTCGTAGCTAAAGTTTAACGTCATACTTGGTCATTAAGGAAATCTAAGAATAGTAACAACATAGGTCCAAGGTGGGTTGTCTCGCTAAATCGCGAAGCAATTATAGATGCCTACAGAGGTTCATAAGAAAACACCTTGAGAAATCTACAATGATAGAATTAGGTACAGAGCCGTAAATTTTTACAATTATATATGCCTACAGAGGTTAATAAGAAAATACCTCGAGAAATCTATGAAGATAGAATTAGGTACAGAGCAGTAAATTGATGTTTTTACAATTTCAAATGCCTACCTTGAGAAATTTACAACAATAGAATTGGGTACAGAGCAGTAAATTGGTGTTTTTACAATTATAGATGCCTATGGAGGCTAAAAAGAAAATACATTGAGATATCTACGACGATAGAATTAGGCATAAAGCAGTAGATTATTAATTCCTTTTTTTTTTTTTTTTTTTTTTTTTAAAAATCCAATCACAAAATTCATGTTAGAGATGGGTAAATATTGCATGTTGTGATCAAGAATTCCTATATCGGACTCTACTGACTTCAGAGATCACTAGTGAAATCGTTTTCAAATATAAATTGTTCAGTATTTTCTCACGATTTAGGGTCGATATAAATCAATGCTTACATTATATCTACATGTTAAAATTAACTTGATTTATATCTCAGAGTCAGCATATTTCTAATGAATTAGAGAGGACCGGAAGGATTCGTTTAAGAAAATAAAACTAGTCACAGAAACAAATGAAATCTACTTCTATGAGTTGAAATTGCACCGCAATTGCAACATATCTTTTCGAGTATTATAATCCAAGAGGCAACCTATCCAATTAGTGTAATCTGATGTATGAAAACAAATGCAAACACAAGAATCAAAGACCACCATGTTTCTCGACATAAATCTAGTCTTCAAACAAACTTTTTAAGTGCCACAAGCACAAATATATGTTCCGACAATAATACATACAGAATAGATAACTCATTCCAACCTCAAGAACAAGAACAGACTTTAAACCATCTCAAAGGTGAATACAATCACACCCTTAAAACAGCAGAGATTCGTAGGCACGCTTCAATCCACACATACATACATACATACATACACATATATATATATATATATCTCAACATCATCATCATGAAGGACATAAGTGAACAATTCTCAGTCATCAAATCCTCCAACAGAGAGATATTCAGCAAACATACAAGAACATCAAAACACTATATCACAGGCATAATCTACAGCACACAAAGTTAAAACTAATTACTGCAAATAGAAAGCAATAGAGTTCAATAATCACCATACCGATCATTCCTCGAAGTTGAAGCCATATCACCATCAATTCTGTCACCAGTCTTCTCTTCCTCATGCTTAATACCATCGTCCATTGCCAACCCTGCCATTCCTCCAGTCAATGTTCCCATGGCCAAGCCTGTCCCCATTCCAACCCCAGGCTTCCCAACACTTCGCTTGTGATAATCGTAAGGTGTGTAATCCACCGGAGCACTCGGCCCCGGCCCACCGTAGCCTGACTGCCGCTCGAAGTACGGCCGAGGCGGCGGCGGCTGAGGCGGGTAATAAGAGGAATAGTACCCGGAGTACGAATCGGAATATGAATAATTAGCTTGCGGAGGCGGCGCCGGCCGAGGTGAAGACATCGACGGCTGCGGAGGAGCGGGGGAAGAATACGGACCAGGAGAATATCCTCCGTACGCCATTGGTGGAAGGGGAGCAGAGGAGTAATAGTAATTTGAAGGAGGCACGGTGTGGTAATTCTCGATTGGGCGTTCGATTAAGCCAAGCTTCAGCCTGATCTTGCCGTGTGGACGGCCGGAAGGTCGCCGGAGCTCGAAGGTCCGGAGGCGGAACATCGAATCGTCGGAATCGGCGAGTAGATCGCGAATTTCGAAAATTAGGGTTCCGACCAAGGGTTTGGGGGATTCCGACGGTTTGGAGTGGAAGACCTCGAGCGTGAGGACGGCGTCCCTCGGCGGAAAGGCGAGCGGCAGAACGAACCGCTCGTTCCAGACGGGGCGGGTGGAGCCAGAGTCGTCGGGCTTGGTGGCGAGGCGGCGGTCCGGGTCGACCCAGAGGATAACGTAGGGCTTCAGGTCTCCGTTCCTCCAGTTGACGTTCTTCAGGTGTTTGGCGGAGACGATTGTCACGTCCAGATCGTAGAGTTTTGCCGGCGCCGGCGCCGGTGGGCGAGGGGCGGAGCTACCTGTCATGGATTCGGCGGAGGACCACGAGAGCTGAGAGTGTTTCACTCGGATCTTTGGAATTATTAAAATAATAATACTCCAAGTTTTATTAAGAACGAAATATATATATATATATATATATATTAGGAATGTGGATTAGTTCGAAAGGTGGTGAATTATAAAATTCCCTTTTTTTCATTATTGTTATTGTTTTTTATATTTTTATATTTAATATAAAAAATAATATTCTATATTAAAAAAAAAAAAAAAAACGGACAAATAAAAAGGGGGAAATAATTTTAAATTTTGATAAAAGTGTAGTTCTGAAGCTTACGGGAAGTTCCCAAATATAGCCCAATAGAGATTTATAGAAATCCAAGCCTGAAGAAGAAAATGAAAGCCCAAAAGAAGCCTAAGAAAATATTCATACTTACTTCTAAAACCGATCCACCGTAAAGGTTGTGTAGGTAAATAGATATTGATATAATATTTTGAATATAAATAAATTTATAGTATAATATAAAAAAAAATAATGATTTCATCTGATATATTTTTTTTTTTTAAAAAAAAAATCTAAATAATAAAAATTTATCATAAAACTCACAAAACAATACAAAAACAATCTCAAAGATGTTAGACTTTCTGATAGGGTTTCAATGGAAGTTAATGTGAAGATTTATAGGAGTTTATGAATAGAGTTACTTAGATTGAAAATAATAATAATGAAGGATTAATTAATGATTAAATGTTGAGAAATGAACTTTAAGAAAGGATGTGCATGATCAACTTATGGCAACAATATGCGGCAACAATAGACTTTAATGCACAAAGATGTGCATATTGTCAATGGACATGGATCAGTTATTGATCCGCAAGTTAATATGTTGCTGATTTGACATGATCAACTTATGCTATAGTGGTGACCAACATGTATTTATATATGTTTCATCATAATTATAATACAACATATATTACATTATAATTCAGCATATGTTATCTTATAACACAAACATATGTTGGAATTCGTATAAACATATTGATCACTCATATGACATATGCTAACCAGATCAAATCAATACTATACTGACTTTACTGATCAACACATAATATGCAGTTATTGTCAATATATACTTCTATATTTTTAGTAGATACTCAATATGTATTTTTACATATCTCAGTTACTATTTCATAAACCCGTCTCACATTATTATTGTTGGAAATAATAATTGGTATAAAAATTTTAAAAGTCGATTCTTTAGTGATTGTTACTTATGAGATATGGGATATGGTGTTTTTTTTTTTGCTCCATTATATAAATAGAATGATACCTAAGGAATTTTTGTACCACATGTAAACACTAAAAAAAATGTCTAAATTAAATTAAATATCATGTATTTTGAAAGTGTTGATGCAAATTTTTCAACAATAAAAAAGTAAAATTCGAAAATAAGAAATTATCTTCAAATTTGATATAATTAATGTCTGAGATTAGGAATCTCTAAACACTGTACGGAACTCCTCACACTTAACATTTATTCGTCTTCGAATAAATTCAATTAATGAAATTAAACCAAGTATTTTCTAAATAAGGACTCAATATTGTCGGCAATATCAACGGTGGTGTGTAAACGAATCTTAGCTAAAGTTCAGGTCCTTAAGCCATTTACGCGATATTGCTCATCTGCAAAGATTCGAAATTATGTCTCCCGAAATATTTTCAAACTTACGTGTTCGGAGTAGCTTCTAAAAATGATGCGACGACTCAAAGATTTAAATAAACCACCATAATAAATCATAAATTAAGAAACAAGGCGGCCCGGTAGACATTGCTACCGATAATAAATTAATTTTGACATTTTTCGCGTCGATATATATATATTTTTTGCCAAGTCAAGTCGTATATAAAGATAATCGGCATCCTCCTCACACTATTCGTTCGTCAATCCCATTTTTAAAGAAACTTAATTCATCCTCTCCGCTAACAAGCGCAGCTAAATAGACGAAAATTCTAAAAATTAGACTAAGTATGGAATACATGAAACGAGTGGGATATCAACCAAATTTATCGAAATCCCGATTTATACTCATGCTCAAAAGAATTTCAATTATTGAATAGATTCAATTTCAAACTCAAATTAAGCACAATGAAAATCGATTGACTCGAGAAAATAACATATTTCACAGCTAATTTTATTTTAAATAAAATAAATATATAAATATAGAATAATTTAATTCAAAATAAATTAGACAACAATAAATTAATTGGCATAAATTAAACAACGTAAATTAAAAATCAATATGAATAATTTAAGCCAAAATAAATTAATCCCATATAAATTAATTAGCACACAATACAACACTTATCAATCAAACAAATGTCTGGTTACAATAAATAAATAAATAAGCCAACATCTTCACACAGTAGATTAAACTAATGGTTCTAACAAAAATTAGTTTAAGAAAGAAGGAAGCAGCAAATTAAGGGATCAAATTATATTACAACAATTCGCAGCACATAATCTAACTAAACTAAACTAACTATTGACTTAAACACTAGTCCTATGCTAATATTAAGCGATCTTCTAAACTAAAAAAAAATGCTGGCAAGCAAAAGCGCAAAGTAGATATACTACAGAAATTTAATATGAAGATGATTTACTAAAACTTGCTACAAATTAAGACTATACTCATCTAATCTAATTAAATAAGCCGTTGTTTATCTAGACTAAACTAATAACAAAGACTAACTAAATTAACCAACAAATCAATTTAAACTAGCAATTTCAAAAAAATGATAGCAACCCAGAACTTATTCGACTAAGACCACCAACCTGAAAACTAGTAGCAGTAAATCCTATGACATTTAACTCCACATTATGCTACCAAGATTTCGATCAACTAGAGATACACTACACTAGCCTAATTTAAGCATACATCAGCTTCTAAATCTACATCAAAAGCTGGTCTAAAACTAAAACTACTCAGATTAAGTAATCTAAACTAACAGCAACTAAACATTTATCTCATTTGCAATTAATGAATAAACCCTGCTAAGACAGCTAATTAGAAGAAAGTTAAAATGTGTTACCGTTACTCCCAAACTAATCTGAAAATTAACCTAATGCAGCTATATTACAACTACTAATTTATCTAAGTAGCACATATTCTACTATCTAACAAGTTAGCAATCAATAAATAAGCCGGCATAAATAATCGATAAGGGAATCAAGAACTTCCCTGATTCATGTCTTGCAGCCAGATTTTCTTTTTTTCAAAATTTTTGGTGGTGCCGACGACTTCCCTCCTCACACTTGAATTGTTGTTCGGCCTCGAACAACCTTGATAAGAATCGGAGGGACTGCAATCACCAAATAACAATTCAAAAATAGCACGGTTCATATAGATGTAATCAATTAAAATATGATGCTATAGAACTCCCTTTTCGACTTCTTTGTGGCTTGGAGACTTTCAAAACATTCCCCTCCTCCCACTTATTTCAAAATGAGTGTCGAATCACCATGGAATAAATCTGAGACTTTCAGATTTTGCAACCACCAACAGCAGCTGTTGTATGCAGATTTTTATCGAATGCCCTCAATTATCAATCCTCAAATCGAATCAATTCAACACAGCCTGCAATCAGCCCTTGGAGGCTGTTGTGTCTTGTCTAAATTACCGATTAATCCTAAAATCAACATAAGAATTAAACTCACAACTCATCTTACCCAAATCTCCTAGACACAGTCTGCAATTCACCAATCAAATACCAATTATGTATACAAATTCGATAACTAATTTCAATCTAACCCAAATCCAAATTCCAACATAATTTAATTCCAATCACAACTAAATCCTAAATTAAATATCAGAAGGAGCATAATTAACATAATTACAAGAGGTACAATCCATCCCATAGCAGCCCCTGCAAATTTTCAGATTATTAGTATTATGTTCGAAATTAAGAAATTCGATGAAAATAGGCAAGAGAAGGTGAAATTGAATAATACAACCTTTCTTCCGATGTTTACCGGTGGATTCGTAGGCAGCTAGAATTGGAGCAAGTGGTGTGGTTGGCTTCATCGTCGTAGGTGGGAGAAAAGAGGTTACGGTAAAGAAATTGGGGGAATTTGCGGTAAAAGAATTAGGGCTTGACGAAATTGAAAGAAAATCGGGTGTGAAATTTAGATTTTTCTCAGAATTAGGTGATGAAGATGACGGAAGGAAGGAAGAGATTGAAGGCTTAAGTAGCTACGGCTGAAATTGCGAAAATTTTAGGGAAGAAAGTACTGGGTGAACGATGGAAAAAGGGAGAAGAGAGAAATAATTTGGGGAATAAAGAATATACAAATAAAAATCTTCTTACCTGGAATTACCGACTATTGATTCGAAATCTGAAATCTCTCTAGCCCAAGACTATGGTTTAGGAATTTTCTTAGTAGGCGCCGTCAACAAAATGAACTTTTGCCCAAAATAAAGAAAAATAAATTCATCGTTTCGCCAGGAGGGGCTGGTCTGCGTCGCTTCGCTGCACTTGCCTGAAATTGGCTTCGCTTGCAGACCCGCTCACATCTCCCCCGCTTGTTTTCGCCGCTTCGTTTGCACACAGAGACATTGATGCCGCTTTGCTTGCAGTCACCGTTCTGCTTGCCATCACCGCTGGTTCACAAGGATAGATGTCTGCTTCAGCTTTAAAATTCAATCTGAACGAACAACAAAATATTTTATGATTATTTTGTATCAAAAATATTTTTATTAAATATATATAAAGGGGAGAAAAAGGGAGCAGCATCTCCTAAACCTAATTTTTATTTATTCTAATTATTCTTATTCTTATTCTTATTATTACTATTATTTTATTATTGTTGATTTGTCATTATAGTAATATTATTATTTATTATGATTTATTTATTATATATATAGTAAATATTATTATTATTATTTTTATTATTATATGATTATTACTATATGTGTATTTAGAACACAACTGCACAGCTGCTGCCTAGCCTTTTTTTTTTTTTTTTTTTTAATTTTCTGATTTTCTCCAAAAGATACATTACCGTGCAGGTTTGATCCTTGAAGGATATCGCACTCTCGAAACCTACAAAGCATACCGCCGATGGATTAGATGTTCAAAATAAAATAAAATTCAATGTTAAAATTAAATTAGCCTTAAACTCAATATTTTCCAATTAAAACAAAGATACTAGGCTTATTCCCCGGCAACGGCGCCAAAATTTGATCGAATATTTTTGGAGAGTTTTTTTTTTAAAATATCTTTTAAGATACAAAAAAATGATATATGTATAAAATGAAAATAGGGTCGTGCGTGTTCGTGTAGTAACTCCAAAAACTTCGTCAAAAATAAAAAAATCTCTTTAACCGGTGAGTGTCCGGGTCGAACTCAGGGAATATGCGAATATCCTATATTTAATTAGAAAAAGTGCAATGAGTTAATGCAATCGAGGAAGCTGAAAAGATAAATTGTAGAAATTAAATCTAACTAAAAAGCGATAAAATCTACGTATCTCGAAAATGATGAAGCGAGGCGTTTGTGTCTGACTTCTGTGTTCCTTAATGGCTAGATTTCCATGGATGAAATGAGCGGGATGACGATGGCGTGATAGCAAAAAATATATGTATAATTGCAGGGTGGCACGGGGAAATAAGCATGATCGCATTTGCTCGCTTAAGCCGATTCTCGACTCGGTTGGTACTTGACCTTAGGGGATTTACAACGAGGCTTCAGCGACACCCGACGAAGAACATTATAAGCAAGAAACCCTACTGTCACTAGGAATCTCTGTTACCCAATAGACCACCGCCTATGCCCCATGAATTATTCTTCCAACTGTTCCGCTAGTGGCTCTACCCCTTTTATTACCTCTCTTTAATCGGAATCGAATTCAGAACATCAACTAAGCAGGTCGACAAGGCTCCCGCGTACTTAGCTACGTTGAACTACCCGGAAACCGCTTTTGACGCATAACAGGGCTGAAATAGTCGATTCTTCTATCGCCCTTCCGCAACCTTGTCGAAATCGAACTTGAACAATTCAAATCGAACATGGAATTTTTGGGTAAAGGTGAGGTGGAGAAATATGATAGGAATTTTACTAGCTAAAATACTATGCTGAAATTAAAAAAAAAAGGAGAGAAAATCGGTTTGCTCGCGACACAAAACCGAAAAATCTCGTATTATTAAACTAGATAAAAATACAGGAGAATAGAAAATGGAGAAAATGGAATGTATATTATTGTGTATATATGGTGTATCATATGTATATGGTGTATCATATATGTATGGTACAATTAGAGGGGATATTTATAGGGGAAAAAGCTTCTAGAAGCTTGGCGGTTACAACTAGCAATAAATAACTACTTCTAAAAATAACTACTAACTACCTCTGAAAATAATCATAAATAACTAACTCTAAAAAATAGCTACTAATATAACTACTAATAACTACCTATTTTCTAGAAGGTTCTAGAATAAAAATTACACAAAAAATACCAAAAAATTGGCTAAAAAGTAGTGCAAGAATTAAATATGGGAGCTGAGAGAGAGCAGAAATAAATGCACAGCTGAGGGAGTCCGGACATTAAATGCAGCCGTTGACCTAGCGGCAATAAATGCAGCGAGAATTAATGCAGCCGCCGCTCAAATTCCGCACCAGCCGCCGCTTTGCTCACTTCCACGCATGGTCTTCCGCTCCGCTCACATTTCCGTGTCAGCCGCCGGTTGCCTTCCGTGCCAGCCGCCATCGCTTCGCTCACTTCAACGCCAAAGTTTCCGTGTAGCCGTCTCTTGTTTCCGTGCAGCCGTCGCTTGTCTTCCACGCTTATAAATACAGCCGCCACTCGCCTTCCGCGCTCGCTTGCCTTCCGCGCGGCCGTCGCTTGCCTTCCGCGCTCGGTTGACTTTGACTTTCACGCGTTGACTTTCTGACGTTGACTTTTGTTGACTTTCAGGCGCGGTGACTGTTTTTTTTTTCGTTCTAAAGCTATTTTTTCACTTTTTAAGGCCAATTTTGGACTCCCATATCAGTTTTCACGCATTATTTCACCTATATAAATAAAGAACATCTTATAAATATTTATTTAAATAAATAATACTTATTAAATAAAATTAATTTAGTTAAAATTAAATACTTAAATAGCACATAAATAATGTCAAAAAATATAATTCAAGAAACACATCAATTAATTTAATTTATACACCAAAATAATTATAAATTACACTTAGAAACTAATAATTTAATATTATACAAACAAGATGAAATTAATACAATTATTAGAATAAATTAACATAAATAATATCAAAATTCGACATAAACAAATAATTAAATAAATGAATATAAGCTATAAAATATGGAAAAATCAAGAGTTATCAGGTACATAAGTAAATTGGAAAATAAATGCTAGTTGTTTGAAGATGATTGAAGATGCCTTGCCAGTTGTTGACCCCAATCCTTAAATATTCCTCAGAAACCATACCTGGAACCGTCGCCCGAACGGTTACATCGCCTTCTCACAACCGTCTACTAATTCTTCTTTTGCTGACACGTGTTCTCAACCGCCTTACCAACCGCGTCACCCAACCAACCAAGCTACCGCTCTCACTCGATCCCCGCAGCATCCGACCTCTACAACAGCCGATTTGCCCTCCCAACTGCGGACCTTCCGACCTGCTTGCCCGACTGCAAACGAACCGACCTGCCTGTCCGACCGCCGACCTTCCGACTTACTTATCCGACTGTGAACCAACCGTCCTGCCTGTCCGACAGCGGATCTTTCGACTTGCTTGTCCGACCGCGGATCTTCCGACTTGCGGACCATCCGGCTTGTGGACTATCCGACTTGCAAACCATCCGACTTACAGACCATCCGACCTGCGGACCATCCGACCTTCAGACCATCCGACCTACGGACTGTCCGATTTGTGGACCATCCGACCTGCGGACCATCCGACCTGCGGATTTCCTTAGAAGGACGTCCGGTTCAACCGATTATCCTGAAGTACCCCTTAATTAATCTAGCAGACCCAATTACAGGCCTACATCTCCCTCTAGCTTGGGCCCTTTAACCTAATTATAAAATTCATACGTAAGAACTTGCCCGCTGCCATCGGACTTTCAAACGCCACTCCTCAATCGTTGTTTGGAAGTTCGCAATCTATATACCAATACCCTTCTGTAGAACCGCCTCTGCAACTGCAACCAGTTACCGCAGCACAGTGTTTGCCACAAAACTCTTCACCTTCGCTACGGGCTTTTGCTGTCTCTCAATCTCTGCAACTCCAAATCATGGCAAATCAATACATACCTGCACTTCCTTTCGACGGATCAATTCCAGAAACATCATTTGTTACTACGAAAATGCTCACTCCTACCATTCGCCCATACTGCACCACTCCGGAAGATTCCAACCGGATGAGAGAGATCTTGGAAGCAGGAAACCCCCTCGCTGTCAATAATCCCAACTACCACGCTATCTGTCTTCATGACAGTATCAAAACGCACCTGACAGATCCCAAAGATCCGTACCGCACCTGGTACAAAAGGGTAGCAGAACGTTTTCGAGATCAATGGAAACGCCAACAAATCGACCAGGCAATACTGTTATCTACTCTCCCATGTCATTTACATGAGAACGTTCTTTTAGCGATGTCGGCGTTCTGGTACTCGGAGATGGGTGTCTTCCTCCTTCCCACAGCCCCCATTGGCTCAACACTCATGGATGTGGCCATGATCGTCCATCTTCCAATTGTAGGTGAGGACCCTGTAATAGGAGCCCTAGATGGACAAGAGCCCAGTGCAGACCACTTGGGCTGGTCTCTGACTGGCGTCAAAAATGGAAAACGGCATCTGATGGAAAATGAAAGATCATAAAAACTTCTTGTTGGCCAATTAGGATGCGCCATGTGGCATCATTCAAAAAGGAAGCCGAAGTCACTCCTCCCCTATAAATAGGAGCTATGGCCAGTTCATTTGACACACCAAAGTTGCATCGAGGATTCAAGCAAAAGGGTAAGTCTCTAGACTCTCTCTGTATTGTTCTTCATGTTATCTGTGTCCTTCGAAGCGTTCTTCGTTGAAAGTCACTGATTTGGACAAATGATTCAATATTGGTTGACGAATCGATGGAATTAATGTTTTTCGTCGTATGCCCGAGCTGGATGAAGGATTAAAGCTCTCAAAGCCGTTGAAGAATTCGTCAAAGCCAAGGGAAGGTTTCCGAAGTTCCTCTCAAAGCTTCAAAATGTTCATTGCGATCTTCAACGAAGTATTAATTAGCCCATATTCGATCCAAAAGTCAAAGGGACACGTCGCCAAAAGTGTTATGGAGCACTAAATCCACCTCTTCAAAGATCAAAGCTCCAAAAGCCGTTGAAGAATCCCTCAAAAGCCAAAAAAGAGCATCCAAAATTCATCCCAAAGCTTCGAGGTGTTCATCGCGTTCTTCACCAAAGCATCAACCAGGCCCTCTTTGATCCAAAAGTCAAAGGGACACGCCGCCAAAAGTGTTATGGAGCACCAAATCCACCTCCTCAAAGATCAAGGCCTCGGATCGTTCCAAAAAGACATCAAATCCAAAGTCCACGATTAAGTTGCCCATAAGGAGACCAAAGTCCTCCAAAAACTGCAAAGTCAAAGCAAAGATCAAAGCCATGGATTGTCTAAAGAAGACATTAAATCCAAAGCCGATGATCAAATCGCCCACACGGAGAACAAAGCCCTCTAAAAGCGGTAAAGCCAAATCAAAGATCAAAGCCTCGGACTGTCCAAAAACGACATAAAGTCCAAAGGCGACGATCGAATCGTCCACACGGAGACTAAAGCTCTAAAAAAGGCGGCAAAGCCAAATCAGAGATCAAAGCCTCGGATCGTCCAAAAAAGACAGCAAATCCAAAACTGATGATTAAATCGCCTACACGGAGATCAAAGTCCTCCAAAAGCCGGCAAAGCCAGATCAAAGATCAAAGCCTTAGATCGTCCAAAAAAACACCAAATCCAAAGCTGATGATCAATTTGCCAACATGGAGACCAAAGCCCTCCAAAAGGTGGCAAAGAAAAATCAAAGATCAAAGTCTCAGATCGTTTAAAGAAGACATAAATCCAAAGCCGATGATCGAATTGCCCACACGGAGACCAAAACTCTTCAAAAGGCGGCAAAACCAAATCAAAGATCAAAGCCTCGGATCATCCAAAGAAGACACCAAATCCAAAGCTGATGATCAATTTGCCAACATGGAGACCAAAGCCCTCCAAAAGGCGGCAAAGCCAAATCAAAGATCAAAGCCTCAGATCGTCTAAAGAAAACATAAATCCAAAGATGATGATCAAATCGCGTACACAGAGATCAAAACCCTCCAAAAGGCGGCAAAGCCAAATCAAAGATCAAAGCCTCGGATCGTCCAAAGAGGATATCAAATCCAAAGTCGACGATTAAATCGCCTGCATGGAGACCAAAGCCCTCCAAAGTCCGGAAAAATCAAATCGAAGACTAAATCTCTTCGGATCAAAGAAGCTATAGAAAACCAAGTTGAAAAACAAATCGACGCGAAAGGAGAATTAAAGGACCCATTTAGACAATATGACCCGCTTTAAATTCAAATCAAATATAATTTATACATATTTTATGTTTATTAAAAATAACAAAATTTTTTTGTCTACACCACAATATATATATATATTTACGGTCTTAGAGTCATATTTTCCTCAATTGATTTTGTCTTTACCATTCTCTCGTCCATTAATATCTCATTGTTTTAGGTTTAATTTTGAAAAAGTCTCAAAGTATAACCAAATTGGATTAGAAAAATATTACCTTGTTCCCAAAGAAATCTCAAATGAATCTGGGCATTGGCTCATCAGAAGCTAAAGAGTGTTAGCACTGACATCGAATGACTAGCTTGTAAATAGGAGAAGGAAACACTGTCATCAGTGGTTGGGGAGGGTATTGTTGTATCGAGATTTAAAGTGGGATACCAGAGAACCGTCACTGGATATCTTGTCAGGATTTCTAGGAGGAATCGGATGAAGACATGAAGACATACGGAAAATGACAAAATGGATAGACGAATGTGGCGAAAAATTGGGAGAGAAACACAACAAGGTATAAAGCAAAATGAAGGAGATGAGACAGACATTTTCAGTGCAGACACGAATGAGTGATGGAAATGACCCTTTTGTAAGAAATATTTATACATACCCAATATCTTTTTTTTTTTGGGGGGGGGGGGGGAGGTGGGTCAGGGTGCAGTATTCCCAAAGTGAATTAAAAATAACAGACAGAAGAGTTGATGTAACAATTTAATGAGTGGGGTATGTTAATTGAGGAGCTTTAGTTGGATTAATTATTGAATAAATGAGGTAGATTCAAGAGGGAAAAGAGTTATTGTTTGAAGTATTTCGCTACTTTGTGTTATAATAAAGTGTTTATTTCCATTTAATTTGATGATCTCTTAAAGATTTTGTTGTTTGATCTATTACAACAATCAAACAGGAGATCTTGTGGAAACTTGCTATAATCCGGTTGACCCAATATTGAAAGATTACAAATTAAAAATTTTGGGCTACAATAAACATTAAATCAAAATACTTATTTTTTATTTTTTATATTCCATTATAAATTAAATTTATATTTAAAATATCATAAATATATATATTATATATTATCGAGTAACTTCTTTAATTCAAAATATTACACATTATTGAGAATTAAGAACTCTAACTCTCAAATATACAATCAAACACATGTACTTATAAATACTGTATATTATAAATATTATAAAATTTATATTTATTTTCATCAATATTATTATATAAAATTCAAATTAAAAAATTTAAAAAGTCTTGACATACATAATTTACAACAAAAAAAAATTAAAAAATGTAGTAGACATATCAAATGGATGAATACAATATATTTCTTTTTAGATTCTAGTTTGATCTTGCAATATTCATTATTTTTTTCCACCTTCAAATCAGTAAATTAAATATTTTATTTAATATGTTATATAAAAACTATTGTTCATCAAAATATTATTTATTTATATCACAAAATACTATTTCAATTCAATTCTTTAATATTATCATACTTCAAAGTCCAAATCCTTTTTATGAAAAAAATAAAAGCAAAAAAAATAAAATAATAATAATAAATAAAAAATCCACACCATATATTAATGGTGTAGCAATTAGAGTAGTATCTAAACTTAATTTCCTAATCATGATTGGTGAATGAGAGGTTTAATTTTGTGCATCTCTTGTACTCTCAGCATAAGTTATGTGACTTATATATTTTGATTACAAAAATATTTTCAAGAAAAAACTCCAAATATATTATGATACAAAAAAATATAATAAAATTGTAAAGTTATGACTTGCTTGTTTGAAATTTGATTTAAGATTTTTAATTGAATAATGATTTAGATCTTTTCTACGATATAATATTGTATATTGATATAAGTTTGTCACAAATATATAATACTCATTCCATCCCACTTTCTGTATTTCACATTTTTATTTCTATTTGTTTCACTTATTTTTTTTATTTTTTTGGAAAAAAATTATACACTTGTATATTAAATTTTTTAATTTATAAATTCTAAAATTTTAATTAGACTAATTAATTATCTTAATTTTAATTTAAAATTATTTTTATTATACTATAATTATTTTCACTACTATATTCTTAATTCTTTACTAATTATATACTCCTAAATTCTCGTGTCTATAGTAGTCGGAACACGACGGGGGACACGATAGCCGGGAGAAAGTAATTTACAAAAAATAAAACTCTCAAATAAATAGAATATGTGTGGTTTATTTATTTACTCTCTCTCTCCTAGTGAAATTTCTTCCTACTATATTCAATCAAAAGCATAAATAAACTTAAAATCCTAATCACATGTTTATTTTTAATTATTTATTGATTAATGAATTTAAAATTAAAAGTATTATTTGATGGAGCTCAATTTTATGTAATTTATTTTTAAAGTTATTTGTTTGATGAGTTTATAAATTAATTGTACGGATGAAAAATTTATTTAATATACTGACTCGCAGTAGCATATTTATCTTATCGAAAATATCGAAAATTTTGATATTGGTACCGTATCAAAATTTACAGTACGGTATTGGTATAACTTTTTTAAAATTTCAATATTTCGGTATAATACTGTACCAATATTATTTTTATTAAATAATTTAATTACTAATATAAATAATTAATTTTTTTAAATAAAAAAATATGCAATACTCTTTGACCCTAAATCCATATAATTTTCACATTTCACACAACACAAACCACCACCAGTATCGACGAGTCGACAACTTCAGCCGTCGGCCGCCCTGCCCTACTCGACTTCACAAGTCTAGGTAACTTCCGGTACTAATTTTGTTAAAATTTTGAATGGTGATTGATGAGAGAGACGGATTATTATTATTTAGTTAAATCTTGTTTTGGACTGTCGGCAACGTCTCCGGCTACAGGTCGTTGGCCGGGGGAGGATGGCAGAGGGTTGGTTCTCTCTCTCTAAATGTATTTTTTTGGGTATAATTGGTATATACTTGTATAGTATCAGAATCAAAATTTTTGATATAAATGGTATATATTGACACCATACCAAAAGGTTCGGTATACCGAACATACCAAAAGTTTTGGTATAACTAGTATGTATTTTTGCTATACCAAAAGTTTGATATGGTATCAGTATTGATCGGTATTTTGGTACGGTATGGTATATCATCCTTAATTAATTGAGCATAATTAGGCTTAGTGGGCTAAACAGAACTGTTGGGAATGGGCCAACTTAACACTAGTATGATATTGTCCGCTTTGGGCTGAGCCCGCACGGATTTGGTTTTGGACTTCTTCCAAAAGGCCTCATACTAGTGAAGTTCATTTGGGAGTTATAATGTGTGAATTTTTCTTCACAACTTTCAATATGGGACTTGGGTTTGCACCCCAACAATCATTCCCTCAAACTAAAGACCAAACCAATGGGCCTTCTCTGCCACCTTGTACTGCCTATCACAAAGGGATCAGCTGCCTGACCACCACAACTGTCAGGACTGACCCAACGCCGCTAGGAGACTTTCGTCACAAGGCACCTCTGCAGGTCATGAGGGCGAGCCCACCACCACAACCAATGCTCAATGCCATCCAGTTCACTTCACCAACGAACCGGACTCTGATACCATTGTTGGGACTAGGTCAACTCAATACTAGTATGATATTGTCTGCTTTTGACTGAGTCGGCATGAATTTATTTTTGGACTTCTTGAAAAATACCTCATACTAGTGGAGTTCATTTGGGACTTATACGGTGTTGATTTTTCTTCACAACTTCTAATGTTGGAGTTGGATTTTCACCCCAACAGGAACAATTGGATTAGAATTTGTGGATAATAACACTTTAAAAAATTAGCTCATTCTCATACATTGCTTAATACACCAAAATTTGATGTGTTTTTATAATTAATCTCGTATTGAATAATGAATACAGAAGTGTGATTATAGTAAAAATCAACATTCCATTTTCTTATTGTCTCAAGACAAGCTCAAAGACGAGACTAATATTTTTCAAGCCTACGAGATGAACGATCATGTGGATGCATTCGAAATTTCAATTTCAAATGATGGAATGACAGCCAAAGTAATGGCTGTCCGTTACTTCCGCATGGGTGGAGATACCCATAAAATGACAGCCCTCATCTATTTTCGACATAGAAACTATTTTCTTGTCCTCTCTTCTCTTTATTTAGGTTTTCAAAAAATATATTCATCAAGCCTTTTATGGTATTGTTGGATTCTTGTTTCATGTTGTTTGCTGAAGGTTTCACTATTGGAGTGTCACATAACTTAGAGATGTAGCTGTTTTATTTTTTTATTTTTGGAACAAGACCTCATTAATCGGATACACTATCAAAATATAATTATTTTGCAGAATGATAGCTACTCTCGACTTAACTTTATTGTTGAAAAATATAATTTATGATATTTTACTTTCACAATCTTATATTTTTTTTTATTAAGGTCAAACTTGTTAGTATAATAGTAATTTTTATGATTATCATCATTTATCTTAGTGAATAGAGTAAATAATATTGAACGGTACAATTCTATTGTTCAAAGTAAACAGTCCTATTGACAACATATCTAGAGTTGTTAACGAGCCGAGCCAAGACAAATTTTGAGTGTTCGTGTTCGTTCGTTAAGCTTAACGAACAAGGCTCGAGCTCGTTCGTTAAGCTTTCGAGCTCGTTTGTAGTGTTTGAGCTCGGCTCGTTTAAAAATTTTAATGTTTGAGCTCTTGTTCGTATTCAGCTCGATTAGGCTCTGTTGGGCTCGGTTAAGCTCATTCGAGCCCGTTTGTCTCATTTTTTTTCTAATTAAAACATGCAACAAATCATAATTCATAAATAAAATCAAAAAAATAAAATAAATAAATAAATCCACTACAAACTTAATTCCAATACAAACTTAATTCAACATAATCCAATCATATTTAACTCAAATTTAATCTAATATAATCAAAGCAATTCAACACAAACTTAATCTAACATAATCTAACACAATACAACATCCAAGTTAATCCAATCTTATCCAACACAAACTTAATCCTACATAATCCAACACAATCCAGCATAAACTTAACATCAACACAATCCAACATAAACTTAAACTTAACATCAACAAAATCCAACATAAGCTTAAATGAAAATACAAAATTTTCAAACATAAAATCATGATACGTCATCAAACCATCGATGCATCAAATGATCGTATCTTTAACGCTGAAAATCTGCAAATATTAGTATATACATATGTTAGTATATCTAAATATCAATTAAGTACACTTCTAGAATAAAATAAGTACCCGAACATGAAATCATGATACGTCATCAAAACAATCGATGCATGAAATTATCGTATCTTTAATGCTAAAAATCTGAAAATATTAATATATACATATGTTAGTATATTTAAATATAAATAAAATGCAACTATAGATCATAAGTATAAAATACGTACCCAGAAATAAGTTACCAAATTGCTAATTTATCAAGGAAATACGCCTTTAGCTTTGAAAATTTACAAAAATAATAAATACAAATATCAACATATGTAAAATAAAAATAAATGGCTAAATTAAATATAACCTGAAAGTTCAATTTCTTTATAGTTAAAAAAACTCCTTAGCATCCAACTATTCTTGTAATAAAAAATAAGATTATATTAATTTACTTTAATATAAAAAATTAAATAAAGAAAATAAGAAAAATATTACCTTTTTTATGGAGTATTTTTTAAGGCCATGCAAATTTCTAATACAATCATTTTCACAAAGTAACATTTGCACCATATCAACCGACATAGAAGTCCGACGATCATCAATAACTCTACCACCGGCGCTAAACATAGACTCAGAGGCCATTGTGGTTAGAGGAATAAATAATATATCACTTTCCATCATTGCCAATACTCGAAACCTCAACTTTCTCCTTTCCACCAACCCAAAACATCAAGGTTTGCATTGGCATCGCAATCATATCTACTTTCACTCAAATAGAAATCCAAATCAGAATTTTGTGGTGGAGCTTTATTAGACTTAATCATGTGCATGTTAAAATTTGCTTTTCCGGTTAAAACTTCACTTCTAACTCCACTAAATTCCAAAGAGTTAGAAGTCGAAGACCCTCCAATTTCAGAATATTTACGTTTCGATACAATCGTAGGCCTCTCTTTAGAAGTGTAGCTTGTGACATACTCATCATAAAGATCATACAAAATCTTCTTGATCTCACTCACGTAAGTTGAAGCTTCATCCTCACCATAAATTATTGGAAAAGCAAAATCAACAAGTTCCATTTTATATCTTGGATCTAAAATAGCACCCAAAGATATCAACATATTACTTTCTCCCCAATACTTGTCAAACTTCTCTTTCATTCTTAATGCCATAGACCTCATATGAGAAGAATGATGTGAGGATTTCTCATTAAGAAGCTCTTTAATCCGATACAACTTAGGGAAGAAAATATTAGCCTTTGGATATTCAGACGCATAAATCACATTTGTAATGTCATGAAAAACTCCTAAAAATTGGCAAACATCTTCCACTTGGCTCCATTCAAATTCAGTCGGCACATAAAGAAATCCAACATCAATATACATATCTTTAAACTGTAAAGCTGAAGCTAACATCATATAAGTTCTATTCCATCGTATTGGACAATCAAGAAATAACTTCTTCAGAGATAAAGAGAGTTGCTTTTTTATCTTACTAAATTCAATGAGATGCGCTTCAGAATTACACAAATACTTTATTCCATCCTGTACACAATCAATCACAGAACCAATCTCATTAAGACCATCTTGAACCAACAAATTCAGAATATGTGCACAACAACGAAAGCGAAATATCTTTCCCCCAATACTTAATTTTTTTCTTAGCAACAAATCATCTTTCAATCTCTTCACACAAACATCATTGTAAGAAGCATTATCAACTGTGATACTAGACACTTTATTTTCAATTTCCCAATCAATGAAATATCTACTAAGTGCATAAGCAATAATAAAACCTGTTTGTGGGGGTGGAAAATTACAAAAATTCAACACTCTCTTTTGTAATATCCAATTGTCATCTACAAAGTGTCCAGTCACCACCATATATTGAACCTTTTGATTCGACTTCCACAAATCAATTGTAAGACTAATTCTTGTAACACCCTTTAACATTGATTTCAACTTATTTTATTTTATTTATTTATTTATTTATTTCAGATTCAAAAGTAGTAATGCAATCTTTCTTCAAAGTATGCCTACTATTGTTTTGATAAAATAGAGAAATAGCTTTCAAAAACTTATTGAAAATGGAATCATCCATCATAAAAAAAGGATATTCATGAGTTAAAATCATATGGGATGTAAGTTCCTGTACCTTAGCATGATCGTACCGATAATTGGCAATCGAAATGATCCCTTCAGAATGAGATTCAATGGTGAAAGACAGAACCTGTTGTTCCGATGGTAAGGATGTTTTAATGCAACTCTCCAGATGACACTTGTAAGTAGTTTTCGTTCATCCCGGATTTCTTGAGAAAATCCTTTTACAATGAGTGCATTGCACTTTTAGTGACCCATTAGGTTGAGTTATTTCCTTCATACCTTGCCACACATATGATGTCTTAGCTCAACTTTTTTTTTATAAACCTCCCTAGTTTCTTCCAACGTTTCTTCTTTATCATTCTCATGTCTATCGGCAAGAATCTCCAAATCGACATCATCGTGCATTTCATCATCTTCACCTTCATCAATGGGAACTTGTTCAACAAGATGATCAGCAGATTCCATAGTAGGAATAGTAGATGAACCTGGTTGAAATTGACTTTGAGACATAGCTACAATTACAAATAAAAATAATATTAGACAAACAAATTAATTTATTTATTTTTAATCATATATATAATATATATTTTAACAAAATATCACATAAATTTATATATGAATATTTATTCATAAATACTAAAAAGAATCAGAAGACTCAGAGCGGTGGTTCTAGAAATTCAATCATCAAGTTTATAATATATATATGTATATGAAAACAGAAAAATACAGGAAACAGTAGGTGGTGAAAAAAAATTATAGATCCAACTATCTACTAAATGACATCAATAGATCCAAAAAACTGAAATAAATTCAAACTTACCGGGTGGAGCTCGGACTAGGAGGATAGCAGCAGCAGCATGGTGGAGGAGGACAGCAGGCGCAGTGGAGGAGAAAAGCAGCAGCGGCGCGGTGAAAGAGGACAACAGTAGCGGCGCAGTGGACGAGAACAATAAGCACGGTGGAGGAGGACTACTGCAGCAGCGGCGTGGTGGAGGACAACAGTGGTGTTATCAAAGGAATAAATAGTGTGAGCGTGAACGGGCAGGCTGGTGGTGGTGTCGTGTGGGAAGGGAAAGATGTATAATTATGGTTGTAGAAATTGGGTGGGAATGTGAATTATAAATAATTAATAATTTGTATGTTATTTAGTTATGATATATATATATATGAATGATACTTTACTTAAGAATTTAGGATTATTTTTTAATCAAATTTGAAATTTAAAATTATTTTGAAATGTGAATTTTTTTAATATATATTTAATTTATATATAAGTTGAAAATTGGAATTCTTTTATTTTTTATTTTAAATTAATAATTTATTTATTTATTTATAAATTATAATATTTATAATAAATATATTATTTTAATGAACGTTCGCGAACAAAGCTCGGGCTAGCTCGTTAACTAAACGAGCCTATTTATGTTGTTCGGCTCCGCTCTTAACGTTCGCAAACGAGCTTTAACCGAGTCGATTCGAACCGAACCGAGCCCGTGTTCACGAATGACTCGTTCATTTAACAGCTCTAAACATATCATACGAAACACATAGGCGACATTAAATTTTTATATGGTTTAATGCATGTATGGTTGTAAATTGATAGTGTAAAGTCCAAACTATGCACTCGGATATTATTAGTGAAATAATTTAGGTTATATATAGTACTCCTATAATTCCATGTATAGGTTAAGTTTTGCAACACACTGGGTGAATTATTGTGTTATGTCAGTCTATTATGTATATATTTTGTTAATAGTACATTTTTTATAGCTTCGATTGAGTTTAAAGGTTTGATTTTTATTTTTTTATATCTATATAATATTTGATGTGATATTTTATATAAAAAAAGTATATATATATTTTAAAAGTATAGAATCTAAATAGTAAAAAAAAAAACTATGTAGAAATTAAATAAACATACACAAGAGTTTTGAAAATATTGTGAAATCCAAGCTAGAACATGGAGGAGTAATGAACATATAGCTCCTTGATCGCCCCTCAACTTGTCTGTATAGTTTTTGAGCTGTTTGCCCTAGAATTTTCTTGGGGCTTTACTTTATACAATAATGGTACTCATTATGATGTTACTTCTGAAAGACGTACTGAAATGAATGAATTGAAGTGGAGAGGAGAAGGGTTTTATTTCGGTGTGGGTCGGGTTGATTGATCAAATCTGGGTTAAAGGGTTTGGATTGTGGCTGAGCTCGGGTCACGGGTCGGACAAAAAATATCAACATTCTTCACATTTTTTTGCCTAGTCATTTATTTGAGGGCTGCTCTTGTAAGGATACATCATAACCAAGTGACCATTTTCGCCTTGTAGATTCGCATGAAGATTGACCGAGAAGATTCACCCTTAAATATTGTAGAATTAGTGTGGTATGAGCTGATTGGTTATTTCTTGGTTAAATATGTGTAATATTGGGAATCTTGATATACTTTGTGGGCGTTCTTGGTTGGTTGGTTGTTGATTAATAATTACTTCTCCAAGGATACTGTCGCTTGGTATTCGGGTTACTGTTCCGGGTCAGACTATTGCGGAGATCCCGAGAGTACTAGGGGATTTCAAAGGGGTTCCTATAGAGGAAGAGACTCGGGTCTCGGGAGTGCTTGATTCAAATGATTCTTCTTCGATTGTTGGGAGTTTTGGAGTACAGGATGAGCTACCATTTCTTGAAGACAAGGGGAAAGCAGTATTAGTTGATGATACCCCAGAGACTTCAGGAAGAGCAGGTGTGATGGATTCTAGTAAACTAGATCATTATTGAGATGAGGGTTTGTCGTCCTTTGTTATGGAGTCGGATGGTTCGCTGCTCATCAAGGATGTTACTCCGCCATCCTGGTTTAATATATTAGCCCTTTCTCCCTGCAGAAATGGGAGATTTGTTTCGGGAGTCTTGTTTGTTTCTAGAGAGAGTTATATGACTTCATCAGGAGTAGAGGATCTTCGACATTGCTTTAGGGCGTCATTGGAGCTGCCTCTTCTGTTGGTTCCCTTAGGGACTGATCTGTTGGAGAAGGTAGATCCTGAGAGGATGATTTGTTCGCTGAACAAAGTGCCAAATCCCCTTGTTCTTGAGGTTTCCTCGGGAGTTAGCATGCAGAGTAGGCCGCCGCTTCCGGAGATGAGCCGCCACATCACTAATAGTATTGCTCGTCTCCAGGCAATTTCTTCCATTGCCCCACGTTCCTAGATGACTGATATTTCGATCTTATTGTGGAACGTTCGTGGTGTTGGGAACCCTCGGGCCTAGTGGGAGATTCATTATTTGTGTCGGGAGCATCGGGTGCGTATTCTTATATTATTGGAGCCGATGGTCGAGGCAGCGCCAAAGTATTTTTATCGTCGTTTGGGATTCACATAGATGATAGGGAATGAGGTGAACACGATTTTGTTGTTTGTCGATAGCTCATTCCATATTCAGATACTTGCGAGCCACAGATTCGTCGACCTTTTCTGCTAACGGGGGTGTACGGGAGATGTAGTGTTGTTAGGCGGCGGGAGATATGGAGATTCTTGGAGAAGACTGCAGTCACAGCTGTTGGGGTTCCTTGGATAGTTGCTGACGACTTTAATGCCATCACAGATTTATCTGAGAGGGAGGGCCCAGGGCGGCCGCGACTGCGATTGATATAGGATTTTTCGGGAGCTCTCATTGATTTGGATTGATAGATGCCGGTTTTGGGGGTCCTTAATATACTTGGAAGAACTGGTGGGTGTGGAAGCGCTTGGATTGGATACTTTATAGTCGTTCGTGGGAGGAGTTTGCAGAGTCCACGCAAGTTCGTCATCTTTCACGGATGTGCTCGGATCATGCGCCTCTATTAGTTCGGGTTCCACATGAGCGGCATTGGGTTTCGTCAACATTTAGATTCCAAAGCATGTGGATTCGTCATCACTCTTTCATGGATAGAGTTCGGAAGAGTTGAGAAGTTCCGACAGGAGTGTCGGGGCTTCTTAACTTACGCTTGAAGCTAGGGAGGCTCAAGCAGTCATTGAGGTGGTGGAATCGGCATGTTTTTGGAGATGTATTTCATATTTTAGAGGAGGCTGAAAGAGAAGCTGCGGAGTGTGAGACCGAGTATGATTGGGATCCTACGAAGGCTACTTACACCGACAGCATAGTGTGGCAACTTTGACACATGCCATTGCATTGGAGGAGGCGTTTTGGTGGCAGAAGGCCGCATGTAGGTGGGCGGTCGATGAAGAGAGGAACTCCCGGATGTTTCATTTGATGGTCCGGGAGCGTCGCCGATGGGCGTCTATATTTTACATGCGAGATGGTGATAGGGATTTTACGGAGCACTCAGACATCAAGGCATCGGTTGTATCTTACTTTTCCTCGATGTTTGGGGAGATGGATGATGCCGATACCTCCAATATGGATGACTTGGCGGATATGCCATTTCAGGTTCCACCGGAGGAGAACCGGCGGCTCCTGGCACCGCGTTGGCGGAGGTTCGGGAGGTGGTATTCTCGATAGATCTCAGCGGCTTTTTACAGGGCTTATTGGGAGATTGTAGGTCCGGTATTGTTAGCGGCTTTGGAGTTCTTTTCAGGGGTCCCGCTCCCGAAGTTTTATACAGCCACTACTATTGTACTTATCCCAAAGAAGGATGCTCCGAAGTCTCGGGCTGATTATAGGCCGATTAGTTTGTGCAACGTGAGCAATAAGATCATCACGAAAATGCTCACGGTGCAATTGGGGACCTTATTACCGCGCCTACTTTCACCACATCAGAGTGGGTTTGTGAAGGGGCGCGCGATTGCGGATAATATATTGATGGCATCCGAGATGATTCATGACTTGAACCTTAGAGGCACGTCGCATTACGTGCTTGTGAAACTGGACCTTAATAAGGCATATGATAGGGTGTATGGGCATTTTTTTAGGCATGCCTTGTTGAGATTCGGTTTCGGAGAAGAGTTTATTACATTGGTGATGCATTGTGTGGAGCATGCTCACTATTCCATCTTGATTAACGGAGATCTTGGGGATTTTTTAAATCCTCCCGGGGGGGGTCTGACAGGGGGATCCGTTGTCGCCTACTTTTTTTGTGCTTGCGGCAGATCTTCTTTCAAGGGGTTTAGAGCGTCTCTACCAGCGGTGCCCGGAGCTCTACTTTAGATGTAGAGGGAGGTTTCGGTTGTCGCACCTAGCATATGCCAATGATATTTTGATATTTGCGAGTGCTTGTGGGGAGAGGATGAGCTCTTTGATGAGCTTTTTGGTTGATTATGCGAGGATCATTGGCCAAAAGGTTAACTGTCAGAAGAGCATAATTGTTTTCAGCAGACGATGTCCGGAGGGATTCGGGAGCAGCTCTAGACAATTACGGGGTTTAGAGTGGCTGATCTCCCGATTACATATCTTGGTGCGCCCCTCTATGTGGGGAATTGGAGGACTATTCTATACGAGGAGCTTCTAGGGAAGCTTCAGAGATACTTGAGCCATTGGGATCGGGTGGTATTGTCACATGACGGTCGATTACAGCTTATTCGGAGTACA